GCATTCAACTGAATGTGATTTTTATCTATTTGCACTGGCCTCTTGTCTGCACTTCCCTATTGGGTAATGACTTTCTGACAGGCTAACTTTACCTTGACAATGTCAGACCTATGTGCTATTCTCTTACACTTCTCTCTCCTTGACTACTGTGTCTCACTATGCTGTTAAATAGCAGCTGTGCTTAAACCCAGACCTGGCTGAAATGACCTGCAGGCTCTAACAGGGCTTTGGGAGACAAACACAGCCAGGCTCAAATTGGTAGTGCTTAAGCACCTGCAGTCAACTCTGGGCTGTCTATGAGAACTGCAGTATGACTGTTGCATGTTGCTTATGACCATAGTGCCTACAACATTTTGCTGCCCTAGAAACACTTGCTGCTGGTATATGAAAACAGCTGTGAGATGTACAGTGATATCAGCACGGCAAGATGTGAACACCAAGATGATTTGGTTGAAAAATGGCGGTGAAATGGAAAATGGCAAGCATAACAGTGCCTACAAAAAAATTACAGAAGTGTGATTCATCAGCAAAGTGCAACACCTTGCAGCATGTAAAAATGATTACCTTCTGAAATTCTTCATGAAGCAATTTATGTTTGTCACATGGGAAGAAAGGAGGGAAGTTACAGAGACAGACTGTAGAATGGCTTGGGTTGGAAGGCATCCTTTTTTTTTTCACGCCTCATTTTCATGCCACCCACTGTACAGCCATCTATACGTGTATAAAAGCCCCAAAATGGAGTGCTGCAAAGAAAAAAAAGGAAGCCCTTGCTGGGGATGGTTTGAAGGGACCTGGAGTGCCTATGGGTTGAGAGGAGGTCTGCATCCCCTTCCTTTGCCATTTGGGGACTCTGCACAATGGGGGTGTTTTGGGGTGCTCAGCACACACCCCCAGGCCCATTTTGGGATGAGGAGGTACCAATTACTACTGTTTTTTAATTTGAGACATATACCTGAACATCTTTGATACATAAAAAAATCTTTCGGCGCATTTTTTTCAATTTACTTACAGTTTCATTGTGCAAGAAGAATAATAAAGCTCTACGGTTTTGAAAGCCCCAGTGGTTTAACTGTAGGGTTAACTTAAAACTGCTTTGTCTGATCAGTAGAAAACCCCTATGTAAAATCTCTTATTTCTTTTATCTCAAAACGAAATGACTCTTCAGCTACTGCATAACTGAAAAATCAAACTGGCTTGATTCAGTTTATCTAAGTTGGTTCAAAAACCTAATTTAAGGCTTGATTAAATGCTATTAATGCAAAGTTAAATAAACTGCATGCCAGCGAAGGCTATTTTAGGAATGGCTGCTCCTGCTGAAGGGGAAGGATTTTAAAACAAACTAAATTAATTTACTTTAAAAGTTAATAAGATAAACTATGCTAAGTGTTTCCACGTAGAGAAACTTACGGAAGTATGACAACAAATCCTTTGGAAAGCTGCTGCTCAGCAGAAGACAGGAGCGAATTTCAGAAATCGCAGGAAATAAAGTCCTGCTGGTTTGTTGCTGTTGTTGTTGTTTGTTTGTTTTTTAAAACAAAACTCAAAATAGGACATTTTTTCTGCTTACCATGCAGGGGAATTAAAAATGTCTTTTCAGTACATTCACTCAGATTTCTTGCTATTGTTGCTACAATTGCAACTCCAGCACTGAGAACACTGGACCGTGCTAAGAGAAACCAGCAGGGCTGAACCCAAGTGCCCCATGGCGTGGTGTAATCTGGCAAACAACAGGTCTCAAAACATTTGCTTTGCTACCGTCAGGATGTTTGCAACATGTGATATTTCACAGATAAATTCTCAACAGAGGGCAATAGGACCACACAATGTATTTTGTAAGAATCTGATGACAATAAAATCTCCAAGGATTATCACGTAGTGTAATGGAGTTCAGACTGGAAATGTGTGCATGTCGAACAACTAACCTAGCTACAGCAACGTCCATGCATAGAAAGCCTCTGCCCCCTAGTGTATGTATAGCAAAGCTCTCTTTCGTAGGATATGGGGCAGCGAACCTCCTTGAAATAGAAAGAGGAAGCATTTTTTTGAATGTTATTTTATAATTTACACGCTTCATCCATGTCCTCCCCACAGTGACTACACAAGCAGAGAGCCCAAGTAAATTGTTCAGGGTCCCCTGCGCTGTTATGGTGAACATCTTCTTTTGTCTGAGGTGCATTTTTAAAAGCTGTTAGACATGTCTTTTCCTTTTTCCTTGGACTGACCTTATTTCAGCTGAAGTCCTTACTGATTCACCATTGGCTTCAGGCAGTGCAGAGTGGCATTAACTTGAAGTTTTCCCAGTCATGTGAATAGGTCTGCTGACTTCTTGGGGCCTGAGACTGTGTGAAGGACTTGTCTTGAGATCTAGACGGCCAAAGAGATACCAACCATTAAAGCCGTAATACTTCTTTTCAAGTTAATGTATTTGTTTCCTAAAGAGATATTTGACATTTTAGCAAAACTGTACAAAACAAATACATGAAGAGACAGAAGAAGCAGATTAAATGGCACAGTGGTCCAGAGGGCATTGTGGCAGCTGGAAATTCCCTTTGCTGCTGCTCCCACCCTAGACCTGTGCTTAACAGTCCTGCAAAGTTTGTAAGGCTCAAAGCAAAGCAAGACTTTGCTGGTATTGCATTGATCTGGATGCATCACCAATTGCTTTCTGACTGCAGACCTAAGCAGTTTTAATTCCTGTTATCCTTACAGGACAGACTTACTTACCCTAACCTTGGCTTTGTCTGTTTAATTGAGCTCTCACGTTTGACTCATTTCTACACACATGAGAAAGCAGTCATCTATAAAGTTTCCATAATGCTACAAATGCTGGAATCAGTGGACTACAATGACCTTTGATCTGTTTAATACCATAGGAGATGTGTAGTACATGAACATCCACAGCAAAGTGTCAACTGCCCACTCGTCAGTACTGCCACACAGTTTGGATGTGCTTTTAACAACAAGATCTGAGGGACTTCAGATGTTTTGTGAATGTATTTCAAAGTACTGTCTATTCTAGCATAAGACCTCAGATATGCTGGGCCTTACCCTACTCAGACCTTCTGGATAGGCACAAGAGCATTGCAGTGTTTGAATTTGTGTCAGTAGTTCTATTTACAGATATTACTGATACCTCCTGAGAAAAAGGGTTGCAATTCTTCTGATACATTTGGATGACTGTAACAGTTTATGACCAAAAACTCTTTAAGATCTCCTATTGAAAGGTACAAAAAGGAATCAAATTACAGCAACCCCAGGGAATGTCCTTATGTACTTTAGTGAGGCACTGCGATCCTCCAAATCAAAAAGCTGTGATGCAGCTTGTCACATTGCCATTTTAGGAACTGGCACACTTCACATTATCTGTGAGAGATCCTTCAAGCAAATGATTACACAGATCTGTTTAAAGAGAGAAAAAGCAGGAATATTTTGATGGCCATATAATACAGTGTGTGGGGAGGCTGTTCAAAGAGTCTTTTAACATGCTCTTGGGTCAGATGCTTCTCATGTGATGCAGTTAGAAAAAAAGCAAGAAAAAAACCCAAACATGTTATGGGAGATTCCAACTGAAAGCTGTATCATAACATCTTTCGGGAAAGGATGGACTGAAATACCCTTTGCCATCATATTATCCACTTGTATAGAAAAGGAATGCTGAGTTGAGCCAAATTTTAGTCTCTAACCTTCAGACTAGAGAGCTAGAAATCTTTTTAAATATTCTTCTTTCTGAGGTCTTCACACTCCAGAGAAGTCATTCTGAGAACAAAGCTGCGAGCCCAGCTTCCAAGGGCCTCCCATAGAGGCCAGCTGATCCCACCCCAGCTACAGGACAAGAAGGCTGGCAGTGAAGGTGGTACAAGGCCCTATTAAAATGAAATGACTTGTCACAATTGAAGCTCAAATATCAGTGATGGCACCAAGTAAACGTGCTTAAATACTGCACGCCTGTGCTTAATATTCCTCCTAAGAACGGCAGCAGCAGAGGGAAGCGGCTCTGGCACTGAGGGCAGAGACACAAAGTGATGAGGAAGTGCTACAGAGCTGCCTGGACGTGACTTCCATGCTGTTACTGGTTAGACACAATCACACAGCGGCTTTTTCCAACCGTAAAGATTCGACGGTTCTGCACAGCAAAGGTAACAAGAGGGACAGGAGCAGCTCGTGTGCTGACTGGAAACACTCTATTACTTTGCTCGCTGTTACTCGACTTTATAAAACAAAAACACTTACACTCTGAAAATAAAAACTTCTTACATCCGCACCAAATAATGCTAAACCGTTTGCAATGTCACGTTATTCCTCACGGCTGCCCGCGATCTCCACAGCCCCCACCACCCGCCATGACAGGCACCTCCACCGCCGGGGATAGCGTGGGGAGAGCTCCCTCCCTATTGGCCGCTCCTCTTCCCACCCTTCTCTCCTATTGGACGAGACTGCCGGATGGGTGGAGACACTCGCTGAGCGGCAGTCACAGAGGCGAATCACGGCGGAAGAGCAATCGTCCCCGCGGCCAGCGGTGCGGCCAGAACACCCTAGAGCCAATGGGATAGGAGAGAGGGGGAGGCCGGCCGGGCCGGGTGCGGGCCGAGCGCAGGTATTGGGGGGGGGGGGGGTGATCGGGCGCCAGCCGCGGGGTCTCCGCCTGAGCCGGCTCGCTTAATTAAGGGGTGGGCGGGGAGCTCCGGCGCGGGACTGCCGCGGCGCTGCGTGCGGCCGCTCAGCTCCGCGCTGGGCCCGGCGTGAAGGCAGGACACGGCACGGCAGCAAGTAGGTCCGGCAGCTTTGCTGGCTCATGCTGGTGGGAACTGTGTGTTTGCGCGCGTGGCATAACGCTAACATACGTGTGTAAAGTAGAAAATCAAATACCTCTGCTTTCTCCGGGGCGGTACGCCTGCCTGGAGCGGCGCTGGGACGTGGCGTTGGGCCACGGGGCATCGTAAGGCTCCGGCTCGCCTTTTCCTTCGGTAAGCCTTCCGTTGTCCTGCTGCCCGCCGCCAACTCCGTACGGCGCGCCGGGATGCGGCCGGCCGTGCGCTCGCATGGACGAGGGCGCTGAGTCCCGCGCAGAGCACGGCTCGCCGGCTGCACGCTGTGCCCTTGGGAAGAAGAGAGAGCGTTGGTGAGCTTTAAAAAGCGGAGCGAGGGCTTCGAGTCTTTGCTGTAGCACCCCCGGCTTTGTTATTTTTTGCGCTCTGGGGCAAAGTGAAACGTGAATGGCAATTGCAGAGCCTGTGTGTTTGGAGGTGCGTTCCAAGTAAGCTGTGATTGCAGCGGCAGGCACGGCTTGGCAAGAATCTGGAAGTCTTTTCTCCTATAGTTTAGTTGTGTCACTTAGGCTTTCTAAAAGCGTTTTCCTCCTCTTGTGTTTACCAACACCAATGATTGAAACTTAGGAGAACAGGAGGGCTGTCAGTGTCAGTCCAGTTTGCTCTTGATTTAAGTGTAGCAAAGGAAAATGCTTCTCTCCATCTGATTATCATCTACGAGAACAGCCTGCACCAGCAGGAGTTTAATGCTCTCCTTGAGAGTTTAAATATTTTGCCAGACAACAGCAGCTCTCTTGTGCTGTATTTTATATTGGTATTTTTTTACAATGGATGACATGCAAAGCAAAGGATTTGGGTTTGTTGCAGCATAGCAGAATGAAAATAAAAGGCAAGCCAAGGCTGGATGCTGATGTTTGTGTGAGTAGGCCCAGTTTCTGTGAAATCCATAAAGCTGTTTTATCACAACAGAGGAAAGTGGTCCCTTTCACAAAGTACCTGTGCAGAGAGAGAAACAGTACCTCAGACCTTTCTGTAAGCTTTGCAGGGCTGCTCTAAAAGCAGGACTTGCTGTAGTTCCACTTCAGCTGCTCCATTCAAACCGGTACTCAACTCCTGACCTACTTTTTTTGTCCCTTTTTATCTCTGCCACTTTTCTGGAGGGTTTGGTCTTTTATCTCTTAAACATCTTACGATTTTTTGAATCTATCCTAACAGTTTGTATCCATCCACAAGGCTCTGTGTGGCAGTCAGCATGGCCTTGGTGCCAGTTTGTAGTGTAGCTTGGATGAATGAATGGTGGCATTAGATTGGCTCATAAGGGGCCAGTGGTGCAGCAGAGGCTCCCCTCCTCTGTAAGCCATTCATTCAAGGCCCTTGCTTGGCCCAGCACTTGTTTCTTACCGTGAGTACTGGCAGTGGGGCTGCTTAGGAGCCAGTGTGGGTGCCAGTCTTGCTGAAACCTGGAAGACAAATGCCCATTGTCTCTTCAAAAGAACTGGGTTTCCAATGAGCACCTGACATTTGTGCTACAAGCTGAGGATGGTTGGACAGCCCCTTTGGCAGTAACGCAGATTTAGGTCACTTTAAGGCAGCAGTGAATACAACTTCAGAGGATTTGTTGAGAGGATTTGTTGTGGGCCAGTGGCTCCAGTAAAATCCTTAATGCTTTGGAGGCGGTTTCACCTTTTGCTGAAAGCAGAGTGCAGTAAATAAGGGATGGTAAAGCAGAGTTCAGGTATGAATCTGCCTGCTGATGAAAGTATTGTTACATCTCTGCCATTGCCCTTTCTGAGAGTGAATATCAGAATCTGTCTGGCATATAAAATGTCTGCCTGTAATATAACACAAGACTTTTTCCAAGTAATCGTGAGGATTAGGAATTAATGGAATATTTCTGCTGTCTGTTTTCAACTCTTCCAGTGGTCGTGGCATGACTGTGATGTACCAAGGAGGCTTATTGGCTTCTGCTTCTGAAATCTGCAGCATTGCTTTGCGCAATTGTATTGCAGTTTCTTAAATGTTGGGAGGAAAAAATCTTTAATATTTTTGTTGGGTTGTTAAAACCTGAATATTGGTCCTGAACTATGAAAGAATAAAATCCAATTTTTTTTTTTTTCCTTCTCTGGTTTCTTGACACTATCAGGAAGTATTAAGAATTATTTAAATTCCACAGCTCACAGATTTAAGCACTTTGAATCCCATGGCATGCATATTTTAACCCGTAGGCAGGTCTAGAAGGATGTCATGTTTGTATGATTGCACATGATATCTGTATGTTACTTTAAATAAGGCCTAAATCTTCTAACTGAACCAGAATCTAGGCTCTCAGCTATGATCTATGAGCCCCCACATGCTGAGTGGAAATAGCATGTTAAGCACCTGGCAAGTGGAGATTTCTGCCTCAGTAAGAAAAAAATCAGTACAGAAATGTTGGTGTCAGGTACCTTGCTCAGAAAGAACATGGTATCACTGTAAAGCTAACAGGCCTGGTTTCACGGCTGTCCCTGCATTTGTTTCCCATAAATGTACAATTTTTATCACTGAAAGAGGAACAAAATGAGAGGAAAAAGCTTGAAGAGAAGGCAGGGGAGGAACAGTTGTCTGAAAATTTGTTTGGGCGGAATGAGGTTTGCTTTCTAAAATATCTTGAAGGTGCTAGATTTGTTCAGAGCTTTGTGTAAGAGCGGAATCTCACACTCCTCCTTCCTTCCATCCCCTGAAGTGAATTATAGTTTCTTTAATGAGAAGCAAGAATCTGTCACGGAGCTTTGAAGCATCTACTCTGACCTCTCAGGCTAGCTGGTAGACAGTGAAATGTACTGGTTGACCTGCAAGTGCTTGATTCCCATGTGACTGCGTCCAAGTCACATGGCTTCTTCAGCTTCCTTCTCTGAGCTGGATTAATGCTCTCGTTTTGCTTATGGATAGGTGGCTGAGAATCAGGTGTCTGAAGCTGCTGCTTTGCTGAGCTGACTTAATAAGTGATAAAACGAATTTCTGCTATCACCTATCTTCAGAGCTTCCTGAAATCGTAGCTCTAAGGCTGTTTTATATTAGCCTCAGCAGGGGCAGAGCACACCTCCTCTCTTTGATACCTTAAAAACAAAATAAAAAATAACAAAGCAAACAAAAAACAGCCATTCCTTTGCTTTCTGCACCGTACCGCTCCTTCCTTTGCTATTCTGCACAGCAATAGTGTGGAAAGAGGCCAAAAATTTCCAGCTCCCGGCTGTTTCCCATCCAGGTGGCTTTGCTTTTAAGCACAAGGCGATATGAGGGAATAGAGATCATGTCTTTCCCTTTCTTTTCTCAACAGTCTCTGGGCAAAGAGAAGAACTGCTTCTGAAATTCATCTGGTTAATCTACAGTCAAAACATGGAAGACAGCATGTAACTCCTGCTTAGTGGCTTATGTAAAGCTGAGGCTGCAGGTTACTAGGAAACTTCTGCTACCTGCTAACACTTGTAGGAGTGTTGTGCAAGAGCTGAGCTCTCTAACTTGTTTAGCAGTCAGCCAGCATTTGAAGTGAAATGTTGTTTGGCTCATACAAAACAAATATCAAGCACTGTGAAATCTCCTTTGTGAATATCAGGGTGCTAATGGGAGAGGTGAAGCGTAGAGGCAGAAACTATGAAAGCTGTGGCAGGGAAAAAATGTTAAGTTGACCACGTCCATTTGGGTCAGTGCTGTGTTTGCTGTTCTCCCAGTTAGGGAGATTTTAACTGAATGGATTGTTGTGTCTGATGTGACAGCAGATAAAATCAGCAACTAGGAGTCGCAAAGCCTGCCTGCTGAAATTGTGCCTATTTTTCAGGCTTCCAATTGTTTGCTCTGCAGTATTTACTGTTTCTCTTTCTTTTGGCTTCCCTTGTCCTCTCAAGTCTTGTGTAGTGCTTGGCTGAGCCCCTCCTGAGTGCTCCCTGTGCAAACGACGATGATCACGTTCATGAACAACTCGGACAGTGAGGATGAGCCCTGTAATGAGAGAACATCTCTGATGTCTGCAGAGAGCCCTCCAGTACCTTCCTACCAGGATGGTCTGCAGGCCTCAGAAACAAGGGAAGCACAGACACATAGGGTATGTATGCACCCTTCTTGGGAGTAAAGAAGTGGGGTATGAGGATAAATGTTGTCTCGTTACCCACCTCAGTCCCTCCCAGCAGGCTGTCTTCTAAGATTGGCTATAGCATACGTTATTGCTGCCCTTGGCCAGCAGCTGTAATGCCTGTTCATATTTCCTCCACTGTGACTTTTCCCTTTTTTACTCCTCATACATACTCCTCCCCCTTCCTTCCTTTTGGTAAAGATGTAAGCTTTTAATCGGGATGTGATGTACATATGACTCTTGCAGGATATCCTTTCCAGCCTTTTTGTTTTGCCAGAAGTGTTGGAACAAAATCTAGTTTTACCACTAGTGAAGCAGCATGGTAAAGCACGCACAGTGCTGCTGTGAGAGCAGGAATCGCTCAGGTTTTTATACTACCTTCGATAGAATTTATTCTGTCCCAGTTCTCTGCACCTTGTCCTTCATGTCAGTCCATGTATGTGTCTGTCTCTCCGTATGTGCATTGAAGAGCCCTCACATATTCACCGTTCTGTATTAAAAACTCTGTTGCAGCCTGTCTGTAATGGAGTTTCTAGTTGCATTGCTCAGTCGGTACCATCTTATTAGGAACAAGTTGGTGTGCTGTGGTTGCCCACAGAAGCCTCAGCCAATATAATGGAGTGAAGCTTTGAGCACGAAGGAAAAAGTCTCACGTATTTGCTAATTCTTCTTTTCAGAAGAGGCAAACGGGTAGCAGCCGTAGCCCAAACAATGTTGCTGATGAGGATGCGTCTGACTCGGATGTTCGAGTGAGGGAGAGTGCCTTGGAAAATGAAGAGGAGGAACTGACTCTGAAATATGGAGCAAAGCATGTAATCATGCTTTTTGTGCCTGTCACCCTTTGTATGATTGTTGTCGTCGCCACCATAAAGTCAGTGCGCTTCTATACGGAGAAAAACGGGCAGCTGTAAGTGGGGTCTTCAAAACAGCCTCAGAGTACATGGGATCCCTAGTATTACACATGTTCCACACGCACGCGTCTGTGTACACAGACTGCTTTCTTGGCAGGCTGGGGGAGCCTTTACACAACTAAAGGTGGCTGTGTAAGCATACCAAGGCCAAAGATGAACGCAGCATATTTTTAGTAAGTTTTTTTTCTGTACCTGCGTTACACTGATTCATTAGTGCTGTCATTAGGCATTAGCCTGTGAGTAGCATAGTAATGAAGTTGCTTCATACTGTGGTATAAAAGACCCAGGCTTAACTCCTAGTCTGTTCACTCTGTGGCTGGCAGCAATCAGGGAATAGCATGTTCATTTGGATGAGTGTCTCATTTCCTGATGACATTTTTGTTTCTTAAAGACTCATGGTGTGGATACATAATTCCATCTAGCTCTTGCTGATTGTGTCCAAGAGTGTTCCTGGGGCTATGACCCCACTTATCACGGTGGGTAGATAAATGGAACCAAAGAAAAATGGGGGGGAAGGAATGTGATGAAAAGGAGTAAAACAGCCTATGACACTGGATTCCCTATTGCGGAGCAACACCTGGGATGTATCCTTGTCGTTATCATGAAGAGGGTCCAGAGGCATGAAGTAAAAATCAGTGGCCTGGAGAAAAATTCTCAGACTTGGTCACTTATGCTCTCGGAGTTTTTCTTTAGAGCTTTGCCAGCCACAGCTATTCTGTAGGAATGTGCTTGTGTTTAAAACAAGTAATCTTTAGTTGATAATTAACTGGAGCCTGGCCCCTTCAAAGGATACATCTCACGTTTACTGCCCTTGGCAGTCATATTTCCCTTTCTTTCCCACGTACACACAGAGATTTGTTTTTATCTTAGGGCAGTTATTTGGAAGAGAATATATGTACTTCACACGGCTTTGCTTTATACTGCAGGATCTACACCCCTTTCAGTGAGGATACCCCATCTGTGGGCCAGCGTCTCTTGAACTCGGTGTTGAACACTATCATAATGATCAGCGTCATCGTTGTAATGACTGTGTTCTTAGTTGTGCTTTATAAATACCGCTGCTATAAGGTAAAGCATTCATGACAGAGCCTTCTCTACGTGTATTCTTTAAGCATGTTCAAGTGCTTGCATGTCAGTGAGAAATTAAGGCACCACATGGGCTAGTGCAAAACTTAGTCATGGCAATAATCTCATTGTAGAGAAGCTACAATGTAAAATTCTGGACAAGCTGAGTTAGTAGTATTCTTGCCTGTGAACGTGCCAGTGGATGAGAAGGATGGAATGTAGAATGAAAGAATTAGGGAGAGTTAGCAGGAACTGACTCTCTCCTCCTTTACTAGCTGTGGGGAAGGTCTTTGGAAACTGGAGAAGTGAAAAAAGAAAGTTGGACAATGCAAAGTTCTGTTAGTAGTGCATGCAGTGCTGCAAACTGTACAGTGAGGAACAGCCTCTTCAGTCACTGTCTTTTTTTTACCCTTAATAGTTCATCCATGGTTGGCTAATCCTGTCCTCTTTTATGTTGCTGTTCCTCTTCACCTACATATATCTCGGGTAAGTAGAGATGTTGCAGGTAACGTGGCAGTTCAGAACTAACCCTTTCACCTCTTTGAAGAAAATCCCCAACTTCATGAACAGAATGTCTTTCCCCTTCTCCAAAGTGACCTTTTTTTAAAAAATAAAAATGAAAGACTAATTCTTTAATGGACAATGCCTGATTTTTACAGTACATACTCTACAAAATTCACTAGGAAGTGATACAGTGAGCATAATGTGAACTGACTGAAACTTATTGTACAGAGGTGCATTGATAACAACTCAGGAAATATAGGTATAAATTGTCAGCATCCTAGGATATGTTATAAGTTGTTTTAAGAGTTGTCATAACAAACTGTTTGGTTAGGTAGAGGTTCCCAATACGTGCTGTCAGTTTGTGTGAAGCCTCTGAGAACCAAGTGTGAAGGGACTTTATGTGCTAAGCTGCTTCTCTGGTTTGTCTCACTTTATCCTCAGGCTGTATCTCTTCAAGCTCATTTCACTGCATCCAAGTTTAGAAAGAATAAAGTTTTTAACTTTCAGTTTATGTATTTCTAATTCATCTTCAGTATTGAACATCATAGTTCTCGTGGTTTACCTGTATTTGACTTCTTAGCTAAAGACTGTCACATAGCCTATCTTAAATTTACTCTTGAAATCTGGCCTGCTCAAATCCTTGAAATCTCCTCAGGATTAAGGCAGCGTGGTCCTTGACTGCATGCATAGGGTTTCTAATTTCCTGTACAGGGAACAGAGGGTTAAGAACACCAGCTGGCTGCAAAGCAAGTTCCCTTGTGATGAGGCCTGCTTCTGTCCTGCTTCCTTTTGTCTCATAGGAGGCTTGTTTAACTACAACTAGTGAGATGCTTTTTGTCAGGTGTTTGTTTGTTTGTTTTTGGCTCAGCTGAATTTCCCTCTTGTATTCCAGTGAGGTGTTGAAGACATACAATGTGGCCATGGATTACCCCACGGTTATCTTAATCATCTGGAATTTTGGAGCTGTTGGAATGATTTGCATCCACTGGAAAGGTCCCTTGCAGCTCCAGCAAGCATATCTCATTATGATCAGTGCTCTGATGGCATTAGTTTTTATTAAATATCTACCTGAGTGGTCAGCATGGGTGATTCTAGGTGCAATCTCTATTTATGGTAAGTCCAGGTTGTGAATCTCAAGGCTCATGGAGAAGTTACTCTGTGGAATCTCAGGGCTGTGTGTGCAATTCAGAAAATGACTTTATCATGCTTACAGCTTCAGAAAGAGGCAGGTGGGCAGTTAAGTTGATTCCCTGACTTGTTCACTTGTTCTTGTAGTTACTGTACTTCTACCATGTCATTCCTTCCTTAGAGTGGAATGCTCATTTGAGGAAGTGCTGAACCACATCTAATTGTTGGCAGGGATGGCTGGATTTTTATCAGTAGCAACCTGATAGTCTTGCAGGTTTCAATTAGCAATTATGAAGAAATCACAGATTTTGGTATGAGTTAAAAGTTTGAAGCGAACCTGCAGAACAGGAGGTATCTGCAAGGTAACATTTAGATTGGTGAGGAGTTATGACAGAGATAGAGAGTAAGCAAAGAGGAATTGGACCAAAGGGCTTGATTCACCTGAAAAATAGACTTAGTGTATGTAGTGACAGATTGTAGAACATAAAGTACCCTCAGTCCTTCTCTAAACTATTTTGTGTAATCTGTCATCTACTTTCATAGAAATAATGTGCTCTCAAAGCAAACAAACAAAAAAACAACTCAAGTATTAACACAATGAAAATTCTTAATTGTCATATTAAGCCTTGGGGATGGTAATTAAGTGAAACATGTCTTTAGAGACTAGCAGCTGGAATTACACAGAGTGGCAGGAAACTCCATTCAGGAAGTTATCCAGTAAATACTGATAGATGCCAGTATGAGGGATAAATAGTTTTTTAAGCACTAGGAATGTAAAATGTGTTGCAGCTTAAGATGAGATTGTCTGGCCCCTTTCTCTTTGCAGATCTGATTGCTGTTCTCTGTCCTAAGGGGCCACTGAGAATGCTAGTAGAAACTGCACAGGAGAGAAATGAGCCCATTTTTCCTGCATTAATATATTCCTGTGAGTAAGATCAAAATATTGATGTTTTTAACCACATTAAAATTGCAGCCATTTTCTGTCTCAAATCAATAAGCACTATTTTAGTTACTTCCTTGCCCTCAGATTGGTGTGCATTTATGTCCTGTTACACTCTGTTTGTGGAAGACCTTGTTTATCACTTAAATGGTACTAACTCTAATTAGCTGCAGCAGGGGCAGGTTTGCCTTGTGAAGCTGAAGCATTCAAAAGTCAATTTGTCTTTCCATGAATACACTGCAGACCGTGCCTCTTTGTTCTGCGTACAAAAGCTTTGTGTGGACAGCAGTGTTTGCAAAGTTATTTAGTTAGATGATGCCCTCTCAGTACCCATATTCCTTCTGCATGTGCTTTATAAACATACTTAAGTGTTTAATGAGGTTCCATCTTTTCCTGTAGCTTTCTCTTCTGTGCACAGTGTAGATGGAAGTGCTTAGAATGTACTTGCTTTGTTTTCTCACTGTGTGGCTGCTCCCTTCAAGTGGCTTTATGCAAATATTGCTTTGTAAACAAAATCAGTCATCCCTTCACTGGCTTTTGTAGGCTGCTTAGCAGTGCCCTTAGCTGTGTCCTGTACCCTTGTCCACAAAGGTATTTGTATGCTTAAGATTAGGTTAGGTAGAAGGTGGGAGACGTAGGACTCCCAGGATCTGGGCTCATGTGCTTCATGGGCCTCAATGACTTCCATTATGTCTTTCTGAGGATGAAAGGCTATTTCCAAACGTTCGGCGCCGTGCTGAGGATGCCTACAACTTGGCTGTTATGGTTTTTTTCAAGTATTTAGTGCTATATAAATGCTCTTTTGTGTTCCAAGTAGAGGTTCAGTTGACTTCAGCTTGGAATGGAAGTGAAACATAAGTCCTTTTTATTTGAGATTCTGTTACGTTGGCCTGAGATGACCTAGATGAAGCCTCCTAGATGTTTTAGCTAACATACAAGAGTTTCCTTCAAGGAGAATGCAATTCAACAAGTAATAAATACTGAACCACAAGTTCTTGTGCAGAACGACAGTGTCTCCATTGCAAGACCACATTCTGTGGATATCTCTAGATGTAAAAACATCACGTTGGCTGAACTTGTAATGGAATAGCAGACACTGTTTGCCTTGGCTTTTTTGTTAGTTTAGTTAAGCTTCAGTGAAAACAGGAAGACTGATGTACACTTAAATAAAAAGCTGATTTGAGTTCCCTTCCACTGATCTCAGAATGGCTCATATCCCTTCTTAAATTAGGGATCTCAAGAATAAACCCACAAACATTCTTCAGTTGTTCTTGGGACCAAAACAGAAATTGCCCATATTTTGACAGGAAAAATAATAACAAAGAAAAAGGCAGAAAGAAAACCAGCACTGAGCTCCAACGTGTCTTTCGCTTGTGTGATTTACCTTTAGCAGAAGAGGGGGAGTATGCCATCCAACTTAACCAACTGAACCAACTTAACATTTGTACTAGCATCATTTCCGGGGCAACTGTTCCCTTTGAACAGATGAGACAGAAACCAGGAGGAAAACAAAGGAGATGAGGACCCTTGTTTCGTATTTTTGCTTTCTTCAGCCTATAGAGAAGACAATACTGACTTGTGCTCTGAGACTCTTAAAAATTGAACAGATACACTGTCTTAACTTGCTCTGACCTTGCCTTCTAAGGAACTAGGGAAACAAACTGAAAGCCAGTAGCATTTACAAGGGGAAGTGTTTATGTTTTCAGTGATAGCTAAATACTTAACTGCTCTGAGCTACAGTGACTGGTATTCTAAGCAGCTGATAACTTTCTCTTTCTTCTCTTTCTCTCCAGCTGCCATGATATGGACAGTTGGAATGGCAAAACCAGACACGGCAGCAAAAGGACAAAGCCAACAGATGTGGGATGCAGGTATGCTTGCATGTCACTCTCCTATATAGAGCAGTGGCCCATGGAAATAATATGTATGTTTGCAACTGCAAGCAAATGCAAGCCCTTGAATCTCAAAGGACACACTTTTTTGTAGTATTGCTACGTTAGTTGCAGAACTTAATGCTGTTCTTAAACCCTCCTCTTTGAACTGGCAGCGAAAATTATTAGATGATGCTGGGTGTTCCAGTATTCAAGCTGCCTTTACTCAAACTAACAAAAACCCATCTTGAGATGTACTGAAGTCAAAGGTGGAAGCGGGTTCTGAGTTTTTTGTTTAACAGCTTTACCAGTTGGTGATGGTTAATTACAACATAGGCTTGTAACAGTGATGCCAATGAACTGTGAACTTGAGTGCATTTCAGTGTGTCGTGTTCATACAACTGCCATGAAACAGATGTGCTCTAACCTAGCTCTAAGTTCAATCTGGCTTACTCTGACAAAGAAGATGGACATTCTTACAATTACCCTTGGGTAGAGGTTTGGGCAGTTACACAGCAGTAGCTGATGTGTTCCAATTTCACGTTCTAGCTGGTCCTGTGTCAATTTGTGTGTCACTGCTTAAAATGCAAATTAAACTGCAGTTTTGAAAGTGATTGAATAAAATCTGACTTTTTTTCTATCTGGTCCTATTGCACTTCAGAGCAGCTTTTTATGCTAAAGAAATACACTGTGTTCTGAGGTTTTACAATGGAACATACTGCTTATTTTCAGGCTGAAGTAACAGATATACAACAGACCACGGGGACACAATCCTACTTTTAAATCTAGCACAGAGCAGGGGCAAACTACACTGTTGGGTTTACTGAATGCATCAGTGGAAACTGTCTGTCCCAGGTCATGGTCTGCTTGCATCTGCAGTGGCAGCATCCAGTCAGGCTGACATGAACTGGAAAGTTTGTAGAGTGCTTCTGAAAAATCTGAACTGTCAGCTAGAGTAATGTCTCACAGACCAGATGCTTCTAAAAGCACATGGGAAAGATGAAAGCTGTTGGTTAGATGTGTTTAACAGGATTTATAAGAAAAAAAAAAAAAGAAAAAAAAAAAACCAACAACAACAAAACACTTGTGAAGAAGGAAATGTCTACTTACCTGTGCATGATCAGCCAACTCCAATGTCAGTGTGATTCAGGGCAGAACTTTTCTCACAAATGGCTGTTCTCCTAGTCATCCACTTCTTTGTTGTGCTACCTGAGCACTTCCACCCTAAAGAAGTAACAATATGGCGCTGTGTGTTAACTTTACTCAGTTTCACTTGTCACTTTAGCCTGCACAGACAGCAGATATTAGTACGTCTGACAGTTTGATCCAGAGACTGAGAATTGAGGTGAAATCTCCCTTTGTCTTTAATGACTGGTAGATAAATGCTTAATTTTGTGCATTTACTCACCTGTTTAGGCCACTGAACTCCTGGATAGCAGCCAAGCGAGCTGTGAGCATGCAACCATCTGGACTGTTCCAAATAACAACATGCATGTTTTCACCAAAGACACTGAATGTCTATGATTGACTGTTTTGTTTTTTTCCTTCTTGGACTATGTTTGTGGAACCAACAAGAAGATGGGAGAGAGAACCACAGTAGCACTTCACATTCAGACTCCCAGATTTTGGACACAAGGAGCCCTGCTCCCAGCCATCCCATCACTTCAGAGGAAATGGAAGAGGAGGAACGTAAGAGAAGCTTGATACATTGTTTTCAGTGCAGTCAGGACCACGGCCTGGCATTTGTACTCCTGGTGGTTAACACTGTAACTCATTTGGGCCTAATTGCAGTTTACTTGAAAAGCTGTGACTTGCTGAGGAATTGAGGTCCTATTCTGACTCCATTAGTTGCTGCTGCAGTATCTGTTCTGGGTTTGTGGTTGCAGTGACATGCCTTTGGCTACGCAGACAACTTAAGCAGTTCCTTCTTCCCCTTGCACCCCCCTCCATTCTGTCTTCACGTTTCCTCAGCTGGAGGGCAGCACAAAGAAGCACCTCTGAGAAATAGGTTATGCAAAAAATAATTGCAGAAGAACAGTTGGAAGTCTTGGCTTCCTCAGTAATCTCTGGAGGTAATCCCTTTTACCTCTGCAGAATGCCAAAGGTTTAGCTTGGTTAGTAGCCAGGACTAGCAACCTTTGCCTGGTCCCCAGGGTACAAGACTTGGTTCAGGAGGAAGCAAAACAGGAGAAGTAAGACTTGTTTTCTTTTCCCTTCCACTTCTTGTAGGAGGTGTGAAACTGGGCCTTGGAGACTTCATATTTTACAGTGTGCTGGTTGGGAAAGCAGCTGCCACACCTAGTGGAGACTGGAATACTACACTGGCCTGCTTTGTGGCCATTCTCATAGTAAGTGAGCAAGTTTTTGAAACTGCCATGGTCTTATTTAGCATAGCAGTATATTGCCTGCAGCTAAGGACAAGTACAAACAGCTAACAACTGCTAAATCACTCCAGGCAATGTCCTGGGTGCTCAGGTGAAAGCACCCGTGGATTTCCTAGCTCAGCACTCTGTCTATAAAGACAGGCTTTAAGTGACTTCTAGGAGAAGCTGGGTGACATAGGCTGGGAGGGAGGACTCCTCAGAGCAGAGCCAAATGTGGAGATGGTGTTGGTCAGACAGACCGAAGGAAAACAGCAACAGCTGAACTGCTTGCATATTTGCTTCAGTGTTAGAGACTGAGGACTGAGGTCCCTTGACTGTGGGAAAGCACTCCTCTATCTCTCAGGCCTTATACCCCATTCCGTGTCTTTTAAGGTGCTGTTAAATTTGTTCTGGTTTCTTCTCAGTTTCGTAATTCTGGTGCTGTGTGGCTTTCTGCTTCCAAAACTGTCCCTGCAGTGTCCAGGCAGTGGGCACATCTTTTAATTACACTGTGGAGTAGGTGTAAGCCAGTTATGGTCCACGAAGAGTATGAAGAACAGAGCCATAGAGTCAGTTGGATTGTAGCCAGCCATGCAGCCCAGAAACAATGATTTAAGAATAAATAAATCAAATCCCACCAGCTGATCCCTAGCAAACAGATGTTTGGTGGAGCCCAGTGTGAATGTTGTCTCTGAAGCTTCATCATCATAAAGGAAGACAAAAGGGCTCAGATAAGAGAAGTAATCCATACCTAAATATACTTAATCCAACTGTACTGTATATCCCAAACCTTTACAAGCTTACACGTTTTCTAGGAGATGGATTTTAGCCTGCTACGAAATAAAAGCAGAATTCACTTCTTATAATAAGCAATCCAATCAGAAGAACAGCAGTGGGATATTTTTTGGTGATTTTTTTTTTTTTTTTTTTTCCTCCTAAGAGACCTTGAAATGTGTGAGGGTGGTACAAGTATGTGCTGCTGTGTGTTAGAGCTGCCCAGTGAAACTCCTTACAATTCAACAGGACTACATGGTTTATCTGCTGGTTCAGTAATTGGTGTAGAACAGAATGTAATCTGGTGTACACAGAATGGTGTATACAAACAAAACAACACATAAAATAATAAAACAAAATATAAGATAATCTGAAAATAAATTAAGCTCTCAGTATGTCAGCATAAGCTGTTTACACTAATTTCTGGAGCTGTGCTCTAGAATTGCTGAGGAATATACTTGGCCAGCTGTTTAGATAGATGAAAATGTGTGGAAATATATCTCTAATTGGTAGTTCAGGCAGGCTTCAATTTTTGTACAGTGTGTCTAGCTTCCTTATATATTAGATTGTTACCAGAGGTATGTTTCTGGGCTTCTTACTTTATTTCCTTTACTCTCTCTGGCAGGGTTTATGTTTAACTCTCTTATTACTGGCTGTTTTTAAGAAAGCACTACCTGCTCTTCCCATCTCCATCACCTTCGGCTTGATCTTTTACTTCTCAACAGACAACCTTGTGCGACCGTTCATGGACACCCTGGCCTCCCACCAGCTGTATATTTAGAAGAAGTGGGAGTTGAAGAATTCTTTTTAAGCTTTGCAGTGAAGTATGGTACACTGTTTGGAATAAGTCATAACGTTTTTCACCTAGTGCCATATATTTGTAAGGAAAACAGTAACTCTGTGACATGATGTGTACTAAAAAGCTAGCTACGTGTTAAGCTGAACTTTTTCACAGGACTCCTAACTCTCGGACTCCAATGGAAAGCCTAGCTCATTGCAGATGTCAGAGCATTACTTAAATGTTATTTAATGTGCGAACTGGTTCTAAAGAGCAAGGAAACCTGTATGTAGTGCGGGGTACTGGAGAGATGAAGGGTCTGATCTCTGCTTCCAGAAGCTCAGGCGTTCTAGCCTTGGAATTGCAGTCAAGTTTTGCTGTGCTCTGGAGTTTTTAGCATTTCAGACTTTTGAAGTGTTGTGTGCATGTGTAGGGAAAGTCAGTCTTGCTTGTAATTAGAAAAGCACAGCAGTATGCAGAGAACAGAGCATCACACCTCGTCGTGAGCACTAAACTGATGTGTGATGCCGAACTTTATAAGCTGGACTGCATAATTGCCCCAGTTGTCTCTCTTTGTTCTGAGCCTAGTGAGACATGGCTGCCATGGTTCTAGATGGGATGTCAGCAGTAGGATGTCTGAACATCAGGCTTCTGTTTCTGCGTGCATCCCCCTGGGCAGCCAACAGCTGAAGGCAGGGCTGACTGTTAAGCAGATCGGATCCTCAGCGTGGAAATCATTGCACAGCTCCCAGTAAATCAGTTGACCTGTAACTTCTTCTGTGTACCTCTGGTCTCATTTCTGTACGTTGTCATAACTATTCCACAGGAGGACTTACCTTCCCTCTATGAAGAGGTCCTCTGATGCTGACTGAAGCTTGGTTTACCTTTTTTGGTACTGTTATTTAAAGAGCTTTTATTACAAATTTTAAAATAGCTATTTAATGTAAAAGGAACTCTTTTGAAAATACTGTCATAATTTGTATCAAAATATGGGGGTGCAAACACCAATTTGCTGTGACGTTACGTAAGGCACCACTAATGCTGGAAATGTTGACACAGCCTCAAGTGACTTCATTTAAAAAAAAAAAAAAAAAAAAAAAAAAAAACACAAAAAATCACATTGTGTTGCCAGTAAAGAAAAACAGGTCTGACTCTATCCTTACTAGTTATTCCTTCCAGTTATTACTTAATCACTGTTTTCCTCCAGATTTTAAGAACATTTTATTTCTACTCTGAGGGTCGTTTTTAGCAATAGTTCTGTGACTTCCTTTTTTCTTCTTACACGAGTGTGTAACAAACAAGCTCTGTTTTCTTTGACAGCTGATCAGTATCAGCGTTTAAAACTGAAACATAATGCAGGGCTTTTTGAACAATGCACTGTCACTGAGAGATACAGAACTTCAGGTCTGAGAATCCTTTTTAGATAAGGCTTTGAAGTATGCCTTTTTAAGATAATGTTTTTTTTCCAGTAGACTCCTTCAAGCTAATCTACTTTTTGATATTTTAACAAGAACATCAGGTAGGTGCTTCAAACAAATCTTTAAAAAGCACGTAAGGTGTTTTGAGTGGTGTGTCTTAGTTTGGACAAGTACATAATTTTTGCTCTTGGTTTAGTTTGCTGTTCTTACTACTTAAATTTGCAATGTTTGAATGTAAAATTTGCAGACAACTAATTATTACTGATAGCTATTTTCCTTTGGAAACAAACTGTCTGCTTGTTTTTTAAGGTTTATATAAATTAGTTGTTCTTTTTCTTTTTAACAAAAACAGTTATGGGGCCAAATCAAAATACAATCACTTGCAATCATGATTTTATATTTTATACTGCATGGTGTAGATGATGTGAAATACTTTATATATAAGAAAAAATCCTGCTTGGCTTAACAGGGCTGTAGCATATTGTTATAAGTAATTTATTTTTCTGAAATTAAGTTGATATATGAAGGAAACTGGGTGGATCCTTCTTACAGAAGTATCATTAATAGAGCTTGAGTTCTATGTAGATTTGTGCTTACAATGACTGGCCCCTGAGCAAATTCTGCATAACTTATAATTTAAAAGGTGACTGAGCAATGGATTCTGTCAGTGCAACTAAATGTACTTGCTTGGTGAGTAAAGGGGTATATTGTGTGTGCATATACTGGAGTGGTTCTAACTGTGTAAACGTTTATATGTATTTGCTAATATGTATTCACTGTGAGTGTGTGTATATGTATGTATATACACATACAAGAGTTTTAAAATGATGTTGAGTGATCTGTCATCTCCTTGGGCATTTCCACTTGCGTATGAAAGTGAAGTTCTGTTCATGTTGTTAGCATTGCACAGGATGGCACAGGATTTATGTTTTGCCCTTCAAAAAGGATGAACTGTAGCCTAGGAGCTACGTGAGGAATGGGCTCAGTGATCCTGCAACTTGAGTGAGTGTGTGTGTGTGTGTGTGTGTGTGTGTAGCAACTGTCTTTTCTGTACACTCACTGATTTCGCCTCACTGCATGCTCTGCTAAGCTGCAGTTTGACCTTGGAGAAATCCTAAATACTGCTGTTGGTTTGCCTCCATGAAAATGTACAGCTGTCAGGTAGGTTAGGATGACAACTACTTTAATGTAGGTGTCACTCAACGGCTTGAAGTCCTATAGGAGATGCCATGTGTTTGTATTTTCCTACATCTACCCTATCAAACCTTCTTTCCAATTTAGAATGAGTGTTTCATTATATCTGGACTAAAGCACAGCTTGGGCATAGAACAATCCCTAATGTGTAAGACTGAAGAATATCCAGGAACAAAAATGCAGTGGTAAGCCTGCCTAATGCTGGGGGATATGCAGCATTTATTGCCTTCCTTCCATTTCCATCATATTGCTACAGATTTTCTATCATTTCCCACTAAATTCAAGATGTTTGAAGTTGATGCTGTCAGCTGTCAAGGAGTTAAGTGAATATGAACTGTTTATTTTTTCCTTCATGCAACTCATTTGTTTGACAGGTGCCCAGGAGCACATTTCTGGGAGGTGTCAGTGTTCAGTACTATTTATCGCTCAGTATTAAAAAGATATAAATAAATCCAGACTGTGAAGTGGAACTAGCTAAGCTTCTTGATATAGAAACCTGAGCCAGGTATGGGGCCAAGCAGTGGGAGTGGAAGTTTTCCAGAACTGAGAACTGTTTGAGTCCTATCGAATGCAGCCTGAACAATGTGTCAGCTTCTAGGCCAACTCAGGGGTTAGGACAGTGCAGAAATAAATGGTGTGAAGCCTAGTGGTCCTTAACTGCTGCCTTGCAGGGCCTGAAGAATCAGAAGGAGGCAGAGTAGGGAAAGCTTTAGGTCTATTTTGTCCAGCGTCCCTGGTTGGCATGAATTCAAGGATATCATCCCAGAATAAAATCTGAGCAACTCTGCAGCTACCTTGCATTTAAGAGTAACAGCAAACATTAAAAAAAAAAAAGTCCAACATTTTAACTTACGCAGTACCTGTCCTCAAGCTTTACAAAGCTAAATATAAGCAGTTAGAATTCTCCCTGACTTGGTAGGGCTGCATCTATTTATGGAAGAACTCAAGTCATTATTCAGAACTGATGTAGGGCAGGGCAGGGTATCTAAGGCTGCAGGTAGGTAGGCAGTCAGAGTTATTTTTAAAGCCACAGCTTTGATGTACCAACAAATAGTTAATAACAATGGTAATAGTGCAAACAGGATTATTCCAGCAGGATCTCCTTGCCCCTTTACTGTTCCAGAAAACACATGCCATCTCTTTAAGCCCCCACCAAATACAGTTTTTATATATTACTGGAAAGGTAATCAGAGCTATGCTTGTTTTCCAAATATTGTGCTAATAATTAGTCTTACAGCAGTGTTACAGCAGGTTTCAAGAGGCATGGAAACTATTTGATTTTCTTCCTTAATATAGAGGAAAAAAAAACAATCTGTGATTTTTGGCCTTCTGTGATTTGGGTGAGCAAACCAAGGACCAAAATGGCAAACACTGACTAATTTCAGAGAATTCATCATGCAGGCAATCCAGACTCTGTGGAGTCTGTGTGGAGAACTAACAGGGAACAGAAATCCAGCAAATGCTTTTGGTATAGAGGCTACAGTCTGTGCACTGTTAGCCTATGGATCAATACAAAGTTAGAAGAAAGAAAACATACCGGAGGCATAGGTTAAATTTACAAAAGAGAGGTAGGGCTTCTCCAGGATTACCACAGCAGTGCAGTTATAGTTTTAAAGATAGAAATGGTGGGAAAATCGGTGCTAGAAGGGAATATAAAGCTGCATCCAAAGCACTTATCTAAAGGGTTAAGTTACCTTACTTGTTGTCAGTTTGTCTCTGTGCTTTTCAGTGCCATCATGAAATAAAGTTCTGCTGCAGAGAACAGAGATCTGTCTTCCAGGAAAGGAACTGCCCCTTGTGTTGTGAAAGCAGGTCACCAGTTAAACTAGAATGACAGCTCTCAAAGTCCATGGAATGGATGGCACAGAATAGTCGCACGCTTCATCATTAGATTCTGTATCTAGGGGGACTGCTGAAGTAAAGGGATACCTCTGATCCCACACCTTGGGCTCCTCCAGGCTAGCAATTCCTTTGGTAACATCTGAGAGTTCACTCTGGGAGAGTGAACCTGTACTGCTGGTTCTTGGTGCTGCTGTGCCTGAAGGCAAGCTCTTTTCACAGTGCACAGCTGCAGTGCATGTTGAAATTATTCTGTTGTGCTTCCAGTGAGGCTTTCCATGCGCTTCTGTAGGAGCCAGGCTTCAGGAGCATGACAGAGCAGAAAATTACCTGCAGCTTTGTTTTACAGATAGGAGTTGAAGTATTTACTGAGGGTCAAATGAAGGGCTTAACCTGAATGTCTGGACCATTTCTTGATGTGTCATTCTTTACATAGGTGTTAACTGCAAGAGTGCCCCCTCAACTGAACTCAGATGCGTCAGTCACTTGTGAACCTTCCTCTCCAGCTGTGATCACGCAAATATAGATAGTAGAGATCAGATTACATGGCCTTTCTCAGCTGACCTCGTGTATAGGATCAATAGCCATAACAAGGCCGGAAAAGGGTCAGTCAGCATCCGAAGTTAGCAGTGATTCAGCTTGCCCCCTAGACTGACTACTAACAGTAAATGGTTAGGACTCTATGAATCACCTTCCCACAAGTGGATAGGGTCGAGGAGATTGCCTGTTTGCCACACACCACACAGGTGTTCAGAAACCCCCCAAGCATTCCTCTCTCCCCTGTGCTCCATGCTATATACTGGAACAGCAAGACAAGGTGCCAGGAAGCCAGAAGGCAGAGCAGCTGTTGGGGCAGTGAAAGCAAGCACGCTGTCTTGAGGCTGAGTCCAGGCTGGGCCAATGTGGTGCTGCAGCCATGTGATGTGCAGCCATACTTTGCCAACGCAGCTGTGTTTGGCAGCAAGCTTTACCATTAAGCACCAAACTGCCATGACTAGTGCTAATTCTTAGTTTGGGCTAAGTTCTCCAAAACCTGGTGCAATGTTCTAAAACAGACCCATTTCTCCTGTATTCTCCATCCTGTCTTCCTGTTTAGATTGATTCTGTGGAAACTCTTCTAGATAACCCTCCTGTCCTTCATCTAAGAGTCTTCAGAGTGGCCAAATGCAGGTGAGGGACTTGCTTCTGTTTGCCTAGTTTCAAATTAGTTTCTGTGTTTAACCAAGAGTTGAATGGCTTCACTAGTTATTGTCTGCACATTGAATCCTGCCAGAAAGCTACAAGGAACTGTCTTTCTGCTATGCTTCTGCAGGCTCTGTTGTGACACGTAAAATCAGTTAGGTGGCAGGAGAAAAAGGCAAAGTGCATGCTAAACTATACAAGCAAATGCAGATTACAGTGAGCAAAAATAATGGATCTTTCTAGCTTAGAAATAAAGAACTACTGTCTTGAAATAAGAAATTCTTTATGCTGAGAACTTCCCATCACTGGATGACCACCCCAGTTATACAGCAGAATCCCTATCACGAGGTTTTTGAGATGCAGTTGCTCAGAGTGCTTAGATAATCTCATCTGGGCTTTCTTTTCTCAGAGAATGTTGGACTTGATGATTTTCCAAGGTTCTTTCCAACCTGGGCTCTCCTATGACTAGGACTAATTGCTAGGATGGCAGCCAAATGTGCTATCCCACAAGCAACATGAAGACAAGGACTAGTACTGCTTTCTTACTTTTAGTGCTCTTTGTGCAGTCTTGCCACCTGTCTCTGTCCTTCTCTCAGTGCACTCCACCCCCACAGGCTCATCTCCAACTTTCCAAAGCACCCAGTGCCCACTACAGCCACGTGGCAAAGTTTGGCAGCAGCAGTGGCTGGCACAAACCACAGCCAAGCACTGTGGTGGTGTGGTGTGCTGCACAACTTTTTCCAGCCATCCTCTGTCAGTTATGAACATGTTTGTAGCTTTGGCTTGTTGTGACTTGTTACCACACCATCTAGAGAATAACAACTACTTCTAGTTCTTTCATAACGTAAGGAAAAGAAGATACCTGCATGTGAATTTCCACTTTGAGAGATGTTTGCAACACTTCTCCCAGTGGGAAGAAATCGCGTTATCTGACACAGTGAGAAGGTGTGTGTGTGCTGGGGAGCAGGGGCAAACCCTGGTAAAAGATTAAGAGGGCTGTGATCTCTCTCACATCCCTGAGCAATCTGGGAGGGTGCTCTCTAAAATGCCTGAAGAGTCGACTCGACATTTATTCCCTGATTATTAAAGATAATCCCAGCATTAGTGGGCCTGCCACCACTTCCTATTAGGTCAGTACTGTGTAGTAAATTGCCTGGAACTATAGAGCTTTAGCCACAAATACTGTCAAAAGCCCTGCTGTGTATAACCTCACAGACCCTGCCCACCTCCTCCTAGCAAGGGGCCTCAGCCTTCCAGCAGCCCCCTGGCCTCCCCTGCCTCTTCCAGCAATATGGAGCAAGGCTGCTTGCTGATGGCCCTGGACTGAAAATAGGGGGAGGGGGGTGAAAGTTCATGAAATATCTGTCCCATTCCCTGCACTGCATCTTGGTCAGAAAACATTTGTTGTGAAAATTGACATGCTGCCTCCTTCCAAGAGAGCTGAATCAGCTTGGAATAAAGTTTTTACCAACAAAATGAAATTGAGCCTTTTCTCCTTCCCTTTACAGCAAGGGGAGAGAGAAAAGAAGGTTAAATACAAAGAAAGCTTGAGCGTTTGGGGGTGAAAATACACAATTCAGGAGTCAACATTCCAAAGTGCTATAAAAATAGCT